CGGCATATATTTAAATACTAAATCCAAAGTACAATTTAACGACTAAATTTAAATTATCAGTTAACTCGGCTTCGGACTATTCATTTACTATTGTTTCTACTAAGTGTACATAGTGTCCTAGACCTCATAAACGTGTTGAAAATCATTCATATAGTGCAAATCAATATGAAAATGGAATGATCCTGAGCAAATGTAGTCTTCATCAACATCAAAACAACATTTTAAATATCTTATTGCGTTTTTCGAATCATCATAGCTGTGATCATATTGCCCATTATTTTCTGGATAATTTGGATGGAATAACTTTGATTATCACTGCCATCTTTACATCTAAGCACTACTGGTTAGTAACAGGACCACCATGTCTCTTCAGGCACACTTTAAGTCACTCCTTAAAGTTTTCTTGGCACCAAAGGCAACAACGTGTGTTTTTTCTGTACTCTATTGTTGATCATCAGCCAAAAAGAATCATCCACATTGTTTGATTTTTATAAAAGTGTGAATATTCAGTTATAGTGATATGAATAATATACTGCATAAGATATACTTTTCAATCCTGTATTTATAACTTGGGGCTGAGTGCAGCCCAATGATTAGCGTACTGGACTGTGGATCTGAGGTTCTGTAGTTTGCTTCCCCTTACCACAAAAAATAATCGCAATCAGCCATGAGAACGTTATAAGAATGATTATCAAATCCTACTATTCGGTCTGTCAAGAGTAGCACAAGAGTTGGCGGTGGGTGGTATTGACTAGTTACCTTCCCTCTACTGTATCACTTCTGTGATGGATTCGCTATATCCTATATCTATTTTAATATCGATGTTTGTTTAAGTTAATTTTATATCTAGAAATTTGCATAACTTCTACTGTTAAATCTGCATTGCGAAATTCCCGCCTACTCTCTAAAATTGTAGAAAATTCTCGAGTATAAAAATAAAAAATAAATGTGTGCACGTAAACACTAGTGTATCGTTTATATTGTTGCGTAAGCTGAAATTTCGAGAAACTCTCCTCACACCTATAAATATAACTAATGCGCCACGCCAAAAGACAGTATATATTATTGGTTTGCTATAGTTGGTGTGCTATGAACTTCGGAAGCTATAACTGTGATTGTTATAACGCTTATTAATCGGGAATTTCAGATATTTGACCAGGAACGTTTATAGATTTCTAATATTACAAACCATTTAACTTCAGCGGATCCACATTGGATATTAGTATTTTTACGAAAACATTATATAACTTCATCGGTGGACAACTCGGTGAAGAACAAAGAAAAGAACTAGCTAGCTGCCTGTTAAGTGATTTGTATCTATATCTACTCGAAACACTCGATCAAATATCAAGGAAGTTCCAGACCAGATAGAGGACTAAATATTGTTTGTAAGCTTGTAAATCTTTTGTACATAGATCATTATTTCTAATAATTGTTATTGTAACTTGTGTTATTGTTTATATATTAAAATATATTTGTATGAATCTTGTTGGCAAGCATCATAAATTAGATACATATCTAAGTTTATTTAATTGCTAAACCAAAAATATCATTTATCTCAATTTCAGGCTATTTGAAGTTATAATACATTACGTAATAAATTGGAGACTCGTCTGGGGTAAATTGTAATACGTAACACTTCAAATTAGGAACAGCTAACAAAGATATTCTTCCTGTAGATTTGCGCGAAATTCAGCTAATAAACATTTATAATTCATTCGTTTTTGTCTCAAAAAGACTGTTTCAGCAAATTGTATCCTTTTTTAGCAGTGTAAACTGGTATCAGCCTTTGATATACATCTGTGTCTTTAGTTAAGTAGTAAAAAATAAAAAGTTTGTAGAAAGTTTACACTAAGATTTGCTTTCCAAAAGTTAAAGAACAGTAATGTCCTCGTTTTTATCTCTGTGTGTGTTTCTGTAAATAAATACCTTTCTACAGTCTTTGGGAATTATTTTTTACATTTTTTATTACTAAATTACTTAATTTTAGCAAATATTAATTTTGAACTATACACGTCTGTAATACGTGACTACAACAGCTTTTTCGTTGCTGGTTTTACTTAGTAATGTTGAAGTTCTCAGATCAATTATTATTGGTTTCATGCCCACTTTCCTTACATATCTTTCTCTTGTAGGTAAAAATTATGCTTACAAAACTTTTATTCATTACTTCCTATTTTTAATAATTAATGGAGAATAGAATTTCTTTTCTCAGAATGATTGACAGCTTTTTATCAGGGGTTCCGTTAAGCCTTAAAACAAAGGGCGGGAAATATTTCAATTTAAGCGTTGGTTTCAATAGTCATTTGTTTGCTTGTGTGTAACTATCCATACAAAATTGTAAGGACACTCAGCCCATCATCTATTCTACGTTATATTACACAATAGCACTATGCTATATGCTACATCATGCCATACATAATTGTACGCTAAAATATTCTTCACCTGAATAGCCAAATGGAGGCGACTGCTGTCGACAGAACTGGGATGGTTGTTTCGAGGAAAAGATGTTTCTCCTTGAGCAACCATATCATGCATGGCTTTAGCGAAACTGTAGATCACAGAAACAGCGTAGACCTCTGGTAGACTAATCTATAGACAGAATGTGAAAATTATCCAAAGAACCATGTTTATCCCGCCATATATTCCCTAACGTAGTTCAAACGCTGTAAATTTCTTTGTAGAATACTTTATATTTTGTATACTACAAAAGACTTTCATCGAGCCTCAGGGTTATCTTTTGTTAGATTCATAACTAAAGAAAATATTTCTACTTTGGTGGATATTTCAGGTGGTAACTTTAGTGAGGATGCATTAAGAGGTACAATTTAAGATGTTTGGGTTTGTTATCTAAATACAGAATATCAAGTGAGTCTAAAAATTATAGGCCAAACAATTTATGGTTAAAAAATCCATTTATTTAATACATTGTAATGCATCAAAGAATGTTCACACTTTAAAAATTCTACTTTTGATGTTCTATTTGTAAAAATGCGCCACTTGGGGTCGCGTTCCAATGCATGGACATTTTACGAGTAGAAAGGAATGCTGATTTAGATACATATTCAGATACTATATGGGTATTCAAATCTTATTATACATATCTAGCGAATAGAATAGATAATCTATGCTTGTTTGTTCCTTCAATTTTTACTAGAAATATCATAACCAGTAAAATTCATTGTCTATTTTCGATAGTCAAAAGTGAAAACATAATTGTCAAAGATTTTACTCATTTCTCTACCAGTGGCAACATCGTATAGACTTTTCATAAAGCTCTCTTCCTCACAAGCATATAACATGATAGTCATAACTGACAGTAAGAACTGATCAGGTTATTTCGCTACCAAAGATTAAACTACACACATGAGTTACTTTCGTATTACTTATAAAATACATGTAATTGAAGAAACCAAGAAAACTTTGGCAAATTTTTGGATCTAGCTATTAAGGGCAGCAGGTCATAAAACGATGACTTCATGTAAGTAGACACTTGCTTGGATTGCATACGTTAAACTTTGGAAGAACATCTGTCCACGAAAAACGAATAATAGTTATTTTAAAATTTTATACTTTTATAGTATGAGAATCTCAAATTGTACTTTATATAAATGGATTATCTACTCAAGAGGTTGCATGAATATAACTTTTGTATTCATAAAGTGCTAACGAAGTGTTAAAACTAAACAATCAGTACGTTATCGAAATTTCAATAAGACACACATACATGCAATATCATTAAAGCATGCAATGACTCTTGATTAACAGGAGAGTTTGAAAGATACATAGAATCACTAAAGTTATTCAGTATTTGACCTTTTACACCTCCATTTGTGCTTAAAAACAAAATATTTTAACCTGGAAGGAGTTAATTTTCAAGATTTACTTGTTCATTCATTTGAAGCTACCCTAACATGTCTTCTGTGAATAGTTAAAAAGTTTAAATGTATTATTAAGATGTTAAGCATATATAAAATTACATTACCACTCTTGCATGTTACAATATATTTGAAAGGTTATGAAATATTTAAACAGATACCCATCCTTTACACGTGCCTCATTTTTTCTCATAGTTGCCTTAAGGATTTTAGAAACGTTGTACAACAAATTCCACTGTTTCGTTGTATAGTTCCTTGTGAGTAGTGACAAATAGAGGTCAAACTGATAATGAACATCTATGGGATCATCTAGGAAGTTAGGTTTTTCAGACCAGCCTGGATGCACAACTAGGACTTTCAAAATTGGTCTAAGAATGTCCATTTCATGCAGCTAGAAAATCCAAATAGATTTATTTCAAACAAACCTCTCTGTTTGCAATTTGTGAAAATATTATTCATTTTTTTAAACAAAAGTTTCCATAATGATATGTTTTACTACACATAATTACAAATAGTATATTTATCGTTTAACAAAACGAATTAAAATGACCAAATAAAATATGTTGAAAAGCTGTTTGACTATTACTAGGCCAAACAAAAGGGACCGAAGTCTCGAAATGCCAAGCATTAAGTTTCATTCGAGTTATGATACTAGATCTTCTTTAATAATACTTATGGGCTTAAGGGACATCTATTAAAAGCCAACAAAACTGATGAATTCAAGTTGTTTGGTGAAACTTGTTTCACGATAAATCACAAAGACATAACCCGATTGATCTCTTGGAATCTGCGAAAATAATTGATCAGATCTATCGTAGAATTCAAATAACAGGTGAAAAAATCTACCAGAATAATAATTGTAAATCACCAACTCTCTTATAACCTAGAAATCTAATCTTAGACTGTAGTAAAAAAAAGTCAATGTAGTCATTCACGTGCTAATCTACAGTCCTAAAATGTTAAACCTCATAACGATATCCAAAAAAAGCTAGCATATGGAAAAATGTTTGTTTGTTTGTAGTTAAGCGCAAAGCTACACAAAGGGTTATGTATGTTCTTCCCACCACACGTATCTAAAATCGGTTTCTAGCGTTGTTAGCCCACAGACATTCCGCTGTGCCACTGAGGGGGTCATATGTAAAGATGGAATATTATGCGCAAAAAAGTCATAGTTTTTAACGCAGTTTTCTGCTCCACATTTAGATGGTACAGTGTTCACTAATATTGTAAGTAGTGTAAAAATCATGTACTGCCTCAAGACACTTACTCAGGACTGTTTTAAAATGTGTTGTTTGTGAAACAAAGCTGGATATCTAAGTATTATATCTTTCCACTGAAGTTTACCTTCCTTTGAAATTAAGTCTGTTAAAAATTCCCTTTGCTTGGACAAACAACACATTTTTGACAAAATAGAAATATATAAACATATCCTCACTTTATGCAAGATCTTATCTGTATAGTCCATGTTGGTCACCAGAAGTAATCGAAGTTTATTGTAGGATTCTGTTACAGAAGTCATACTACGGAGAGTTTTGTTAACAAGATGAACGATGTTAGTTATGTCATCTGGCTTTTCCTCGTTAACTGTCAAGTAGACAACTCTTGGGGACAATTTCATCATTTTTCTTAACATCACGTTGGCTGGAAATCCTCCTTTATTAAAAGTATTAATATTTTTACACTATTTGCTATTATATATCATCAGATAGACAAGTAAGTAAATAGTTAGAAATATTGAGCTAACTTTACCAATATTGCACTAACTATCACAAAAATATATGTTTCCCAAGTATACTACAAAGAAAACAAATGATACAAGAAACATATATCTGAGATCAAATATAAAACAAAAAATATAAACTTATAATTAGCTACCATTAATTTCGTCGTGTAAAAGAATTACGTCACGAGACTTAGTAGAACTGATAACATCGGCAATAGCATCGGTTACGTCATAGTCTCTTGTTCTGTCAATAAAAATATTTCCGCCAGATGGCAGTTGACACAGTCCATGATTGATGACGAAATGAGGCAGCCCTGTTTTCAACATAAAGAACCTCAGTTGAATAGCAACCACACAAGAAGTAAACGAAAGAACAGCATGGACGCCATCTTGTATAGCTTGTTCAACTGTGGAAAAAAGTAACATTATAATTAAATTAGACAAACACGTTTTAATTAAACAAGAATAAAATGAACTGGATAACAAGAATGGGTGTAAATTAATTAGATTTAAAAGTGAATATTGTTTAATTAAGTGCGGTGCTTCAGCCATAGATCGGTAATTTTTAATTTTTCAAAATATATTTATTCTTATCACAAAACATTAAATACATTGTTGTAATTAAATGAATAAATATGATTTAATTCCAGTATTCTTACTTTCCAAGTTTTAAGTAATCGTGTTCGCACAAGATTCGTGTAGTGCTTCGAATAAAAAGTTAGAAACATTTTTACTTATTTTGTGTAAATTGGTAACGAACGAGTGAAATATTGAGTGTCAAAAGTTCATTCTGTAACAACTATTGCTAAACATCGAAGTATTAATAAGGCTATGTATATGTCACATCCTAATGAATTTATTGGAACCTATTCTTTTCTCCAGGATATATCAAAAATAACTGTTAACAATAATATTTGAAACCTTATTTTCACTTCTACAATTTTTTTATTTTATGTCTGTAAGGATCTGCAAATAATTATTAGCGTTCTCCTTAAAGTATTTGACTAAAATTCTCAATCAACACACAATAGTTTGTTTCTTTTCAGTACTACAAAGAGGTGCTTCATTTTACAAATAATGTACAGGCGAACAATAGCAAATATCGGAGTTACAGTGAAACTCCTGACCAGAACAAGCAGCATTTGCATATTTTTACAACAAACTACTAATATTCAGCAGTGTAATATGAATTACCAATATTTATCAATAACACCATAAATATATTTTTACTTGATGCAAGGTATACATTCTACATTCTAGATCATAGAATAGGGCAAAGAAAAGTATAGTGTTCATCGACTGTCGGTGCATTTAACGTAATATTGCATCGTAACAGATTAATATTACTTCCCCAAACCTTATTCGCCACAGGATTCTTCATGAAGCTGAAAGATTTCAATTTATATTTGTCAACTTTACCGATGACTTTATGCTCACACTTTTTAAATCTATTTCATAAGGCAAATCTGGATACATAACAGAATTTATGTGTTAATTTACTATTCTATCGATAATGATTTACCAATCATTGAGTCTGAATCGGGTTTTGAAAGGTAGCAGTTGGTGACCATATCTCGTAAAAGAATAATACTAATGTGAACAATAGAAGCGTAATACTGAACTGAAGACATATCTTTAATGAAAAAAAAGATTGTCTAGACCCTACATTACTACAAAAACTCTAAATAATTAAATGTCTTACCTGTATTTTCGACTACAATTAAGTCAACTGGAATGAATGATCGAACTTCCAATTTATATCGTGGTAAGATGTCTTGGCGTGCGTTCACGTGCATGGCAGCTGCGGTTAGAACTTGGAGCAACATGGAACTGACAGTATGGTTTCGTTCAGCAATGAAACCTATTCGAAGAAAAGCTATCTTAAATGTAATGGAAATGGTTTTTAACAGTGATAGATAGATATTTCGCAAGTCTTAATCAAAACGTTTCACGAGTGAGTAATGGAGCCCAAGAATTACGGTTGTCTAATGATCGACGGTAAAATAAGACATAGAAATGTTACGTTTCTTTCACCACTTATATTTTACACCGAAACGGTTTCTTTATTCTCATATATTTAACTTTTACTGTAACGGATATTGCTCTCCAAAGTTTTAAATCATTGTAAATATTATTAATCTCAGGACAAAACATAGAGATTTCTCAGGGTTCACGAGTTGACAAAATATGCTCATTAGGTGAGCATTGATGAATCAAATAGGTTGCAGTTGTAATACAAATAGATCAATTGAATAACATAAAATAATAAGAACGTTCATCATGTTACAGTCAAAGTACTGTGGTGGTAGTGTTTTCTTGGACTTATGAAAAACGTCAGTTATGTACTACATCATGTATTAAGGCATTACTCCCAGTGGCACAGCGGTATGTCTGCGGACTTACAACGCTAGAATTCGGGTTTCGATATTCGGGGTGGGCAGAGCACAGATAGCCCATTGTGTAAATTTGTGCATTAATTCAAACAAACAAACTTAAGGCATTAACAAGTATCTAATAAATTAAAATAATTATTTTTTTATATATAGCATTTACAGAACTTTATTGTAATTTTATGAAAATAAAATAGTGTATACTAGAAACTATAGCGTGATAGTTAACTTATTAGCAGATTTTATAACTAGAATGGATATATCATATAATGGTTACAAAGAAAAAAAAGCAACGTTTGTAACTGAATATTCATATGTCTACAGGTTTATAGTTTCAATATTTCATGATTAAAAGCCAGCATTAAAATGGATAATCCTCTCTCTCTCTCTAGAACATATTTATTGATTTTATTGTGGAGCATTTTTTTCTGAAATTTGTTTAAAACTTTCTATTTGTTACATTAAAACATTGCATTAAACTTGTGCAAAACGTAATCGATTGAACTCTCTAATCCCTAAAAATATGTGCTTCCGTAGGTTAGTCTGACAAAGAAATTATCTTCACCGTTTCGTTTAAAGCAGTACTCTTTCGCTCTATGGTGTAATGGAGTGCATGGAATTACACATTAACATTGTGTCTGTAAATGACCGAAATAATTAACTAGCCGTGTCAAACTTATATGCAAATATATTCAGCGAATCTCTAGTTACCAAAATATTCTTAGTATCAGAGTGCCTCTTGAGTATTGAACGTGTGTGTGTTGTTACTTTGTTATAATCAAGCGAAAGGCTTGCTCATAAAACTTGAAACATGCTAAAATGTCACACAGCCAGTATATGTAATTTAAGGCAGAAAACAAAAGCTTCTTTCGAAACAAATAAAGTCTACCGAGAAAACAAAGTCGACGATAAAAAATATACTTATAAGCGTCAGGAGTTGTTTGTAACTAAAAATACTTTTTTATTGAAGAGATATTTCTTTTTAAGACACTCTATCTTTTTCATTCCAAATATTAAAATAACAAAAAATAAAGACGCCATTCACTTGTATTCCATCCAAAACAAATTACGTTGCATTAGAGATAGCTTAATCATGAGTCATGAGAATATTTAACATTTCTAGTGTAAACACAGGCACACACATGTGAACATTTCATAATAATTAATGTTGTTATAGGTACCGAAGGTTAAAGGTTTTCTCGAATTTAATTTCTGATCAACTGATTGTACATATTTGTGTGTGCAACTTTCGGCTTTGCGATGTGTATGTAGTTACCCACCCGCTGATTCCACAATGTGTTCTGTATCGATGGTTACTGGATCTGTATTATCCAGTATGAATTATACGTTCCACAAGCTTCCAGTAATACGCTAAGCGATGTTAAGAAAACATATTTCTTCTATTGATAAACGTCTTTAGTAACCAACGAATAAATTAATTTCTTCATCCGCTGATGGTCCTGGTAAACAATTAGCTCAATCATATATAGATATATATTGTTTCACACACTAACGCCCCCTGATAAGAAACTCAACAATTTCAACACTTACATTGTTTCATCTACTAATGCCTCTAATAACTAACTAAACATTAACGCCCCTGATAAGAAACTCAACACTTACATTGTTTCATCTACTAATGCCTCTAACAACTAACTAAACACTGTGACGATATATATTGTTTCATACATTAACGCTCCTGATAAGAAACTCAACACTTACATTGTTTCATCTACTAATGCCTCTAACAACTAACTAAACACTGTGACGATATATATTGTTTCATACATTAACGCCCCTGATAAGAAACTGAAAAAATTCAATACTTATATTGTTTCATCTTCTAATGCCTCTGATAAATAGCTAAACACTGTAAATAAATATACTGATTTTCCTCCTCATGCCTTTGATAACAAGTTAAGCAGTTTTAATATATATATATATATATATATATATA